AGGAATGGGCTTACTGTTCAATAGCTATAAAGTTGTGGCGAAAAGTTCTAGAGATCTGTTGTACAACCTTGCACTTAATATTAAGAATACCATTTATTATCATTTTAAAATTCACAGTCAAAATTATAAATTAAACTTAAAATTTTTTTGTTAAGGAGGTGGATCTCCTATTAAGTGCTTTTACCATACACACACACACACACACACACACACAAATTCAAATTAGTCAACCCATAAGGGTAATTTGCCAACTAGCCCCAACCATTGGGAGTAGGACTATAGTAGGGTGTCAAATAAATAATAAACAAATTTGGAGGCCTCACTGGTGGAACAAGGGGTTAAACACAATGCTATGAAGCTATCTGCAGCCACTGCAGCCTGGGTTCTATCCCCATTCAGGGAGGTGACCCACATGGCATAGTAGACCTCTCTTGTTTCACCTCTTGCTCACTCAGTAGTGTATTTCAGTCAGTCGGCCTGTTCTGTTCCCCACTCTGGCTCTGGTGAATGCCCTCACCTCCTGCACCTCTGGCCTGTACCCCAGTTTTTGCATGCAAACATAAATATTTTTTAAAAATCTGAAAAAATGAAAGCAAAGTTAGGTCAATACTTTCATGCATGCATGTCTATATGTTTGTTTGTTTGTTTTTTAATTCAGAAAAGAGATAATTTACTTATATACATGACTTCCAAAATTTGTTTTCTGAAATGGGTTGCCTTAAAAATGAAAATATATCCATTACTTACAATAGGAGAGAATTTTTAAAATAGCTCTATAATAAGAAAGGAGACGATTTCCAAAAGATTATTTGATACAAACATTTTGTAAAGTAGCAGATTTCTCACTAGAGGGAGCTCAGAACTCACCAGTCAATGACAAGAGATGCAAAAATAAAATGTCATTTCATTTTAGAGGGAAAATATTTGAATAAGAAATAATAAATAATTTGAATTAAAGATATTGAACAAATGCCCTTTCAATTTTCAGGAGTTGGGAACTTTTAGGAAAATATTGCCAATTTTCTTCAATTATTAACCTGTACATTTTTAAATTGTATAAAGGATGAAAAATATGAAATTCCCTAATACTCAGTCCATTAATTTAACAAGCTAATATTGCCTTCTTAGGGAAAAAATAACCTGGAATTTATGCAAAAGAGCAACAATAAGGCAATGATGATTATGGGTAGCTGGAAAGGCAGTTTAAAAGTAGAATTCTTGTTCCTTGGCTTATCTTTTCCTAGTTCCATATGTAACCCTTTGGGGCATCTTCTTTCTTAAAAGCACACTATTTTGGGTACATTTAGAGGAGAGAGCTAATTCATAGCTACACCTAAGCCAGTTTGCTAAGTCACCTGCTTCTCCCCTGTTCTCCATTACATCTCCTCTAACCGTTTTTTTTTAATTAAGATTTATTTATTTATGCATACAAGACCTGGGGCACAGTTAGTCAGAGGTGTGGGAGTTGAGAGGATTCACCAGAAACAGGGGAGGGGGGAGCAGACAGGCAGCAGGTGGGTCAGGAGAGGTCTGCTGTGCCATGTGAGTCACCTCCCAAGTGGGGAGTCAAACTCTGCTGACTGTAATGATTTCATAGTGCTCTAACATGCTGCACCATCAGGGAGGGCCCTCTGACATTCTTGACTCAAAAGGAAGAGTCACTCATTTCCTGGAGTTCAGCTGCCATGTCCTTCATTCCTAACAGCAGTGTTAACTCAAGACCATGTGGAACAAAGTTTTATTAAAGTCTTGGGGGGCAATTAGCATCATATTTTAAAAGTACCTTGTCCCCTTAGCCCTTATATCTGGGAACTTCCCACTGGACATTTCTCCTCAGGTCCCAGAACCACTACTCCCTAGGTCGCAAAACTTTAACTTATGAAGTGTCTTACGTATTTCTTTATCACAGACTAGGGTTCCAACATATCCAGGGTTCCATACAGTTGTCTCAAATACTGCATGAGACATATTTATGCTAAAAAAAATAAATAAAAACCAAACTATCTCTTGTTTTCCTAAAATTCAAATTTTACTAGGCATCTTACATTTTTTCCAATCTAGCAACTCTCCCCTATAACTTTTACTCTGTTCTTTCTACGTCATCCTCTCCAGAGGTTATTTCCAGAGGAAGTCATTTATCTCACTTCTCTCCCTGAGAACAAATATTTATGTTTTAAGTAACAGTTTTCCTTTCTGTCTCAGCAGTATGGCACCTGTCTAGTAAATTATTTGCATCCAAAATGTTAAACAGAATGATTTGTTTTCTGGTTTCATGATCGTGATTGAACACAGGTGTTTCTGAATGGTCACATCCACACATTGATTTCATTGAAGTCTTGTTAATCCTGTTTGTACTGTGCATTAAACACTATGCTAAGTAAGAGGATACCAAATGAATGAGAGGGCTTATGTCTAGAAAAGCAGTGTATTTTACAATGTGGAAGCAACTAGCCTGCATCAGCTGGTAGCTGTGGGCCAGCTGAAACCACTGAAGTTAGCCTATCCTGCCCATGCCACGTGAGTTGGAAACATTTAAAGGGAAAGGACAGCCTTGTGGAACACCAACACCCCATTTAAATTATTCTTAAATGAACTCCCTTTGTAAATAACTCTCATATGAACTGTCTTGCCACACACCTTTTAAACTGAGAGGCACCCCCCCAAAACTATTATTTATATTTTATGTAAGCATGGAGAAAGTTCTTCACAGTAAATATGTTTTCTAAGTGTCATTCTATAATTAGAGCTCATTCTGAATTATATGCAAAGATCATTAATCCATCAAAAATTATCTTAAGGGATCAACAAGCGGCTAGATTTGGTCTTCCAATATTATTGAAAGCAAGACATTGGAAATGGTAATATCTGCTAAAGGATTGTTATGAATGAAGGTGTTTGCCTTCTTTTCTTTCCTTGTTGCAAAATGCTGATTCTGTAGGGAGTTTTACATGTGATTTTATGCACTATTGTATATGCAGAACAAAGAAGTATGCCTTTCCTGTCTAAGGGGGAAAAAAAACCTCACCAAGTTAGCAAAAAGCAATATAGGGTTTCTCAGGCAGACAGATTTTAATAAAACAAACAAACAAACAAACAAACAAGGCCCTCCCTGGTGGCGCAGCGGGTCAAAGCACAACTCTGAGAATCTAAAGCCGCTTCCGCATGAGTTTGATTCCCGCCTGCCCGGGAGGTGACCACATGGCGCAGCAGACCTCTCCTGACCCGCCTGCTGCTCCCCTCAGCAGTGTACTTTGTCGATCTGCCTGTTCTGTTCCCCACTCTGTCTCTGGTGAAGCCTCTCACCGCCCCTGAGCCTCTGGCCTGTACCCCAGTTCTGTATGCACAAATAAATAAATCTTTAAAACAAACAAACAAACAAAAAACTATGAGGAAGCTGAACGTCTGGCAATTTTCTCATTAAAATAATCTCTTTATGAACCTCTTGTAAAATGTTTTTTTTAAGATTTATTTATTTATGCTTATTAAAACTGGAGTACAGGCCAGAGGTGTGTTGGGTGAAAGGATTCACCAGAGACAGAGTGGGGAGCAGAACAGATCTGCTGAAATACACTGCTGAGGGGAGCAGCGGGCTGGTCTGGAGAGGTCTGCTGTGTCTTGTGAGTCAGCTCCCTGACGGGAGATCAGAATTCATACTGCAGTGGCTTTGCAGAGCTTCATAATGCGATGCTTTAACCTGTTGCGTCACCACGGAGAGCCCTGGAAAGTGTTACTTTTAACTCTAAAGTGGGGACTGGACTATTATTGAGCACGGAGCCCCACTCAGGCAGGAGTAATTCAATGATGGATTTGATTAAGAAACACCCAAGTAAGAACAGGTTTAACCAAATGGGATAACCACTCTGGGGGTGAAGGCCTCCTCTGACTGCTATGTTATTGAAAGGATACACTCCAAATTTGTCTGAACCCTACTTCTCAAAAATTTGTAAACAGCACTCCTTTTGAGGGAGTATATATTTTTCTTCATGGGCCAAAGAATTAATCAGATGGAAGTCTTGTCCCCTGTGAGCAATAATTTGATTGTTTTGCTAATTTGTGCTTTCATTTTGCTGTTAGCTTTTACAGGTTATCTCTGAAACCCTATACAGCACATCACCACCTAACCCCCAGCCCCATCACATTCCCTCCTGTTTTTTTAGTTTAACTCCTGGTTGGAAAGACAACTTAACTCTCGCTAAACATTAGTTAATAGAGCATCCAGTAGGGCATTAACACCTATTACTAGACAGGGTTTTCTTCTGCAACCATCCCAGTGTAGGTGGGTTCACTGTTGCTTCAGGAAGCTTGAACGAGAAGCTTGGAGCCTTGGAGCCCTTGGCTTCCTCCCAAAAGATTAGAGGTAACAAGCAAGCAGGGAGGCAGCAATTTGTCCCCCTTCAAATTTCTATTTGCTCTTTCCTCTGGGCTTCCTCTGACAGCGGTTCTCTGACAGCCGTTCTCTGGCGCCCTAGAGACTCCGCCTCCACACTCAGGTGTGCCCGCCCACGCATGCCCTCTCCGTGTTCCAGGTGTCTACAATCACGCAGAAAGCGTGGCGCCCATGCTCCCAAGGGCCTATGCTCCCAAGGGCCTCCGCATTCAAGGTTGCAGGTGACAGCCACAGAAGCCAGCAGGTGAAAGCCTGACCAGTCTTCATTTACCCCCACAGATTTGTTCATCTAGAGCCAATGAGTGCTGTTGTCCCTGGGACTTAGGTCCCCTAGCCTCTAGACCCTCCCCACCACCATCTACACGAATAGCCCTGAAGAAGAACTGAGATCACTTAGCATTCCCATTTCCAACACCTGTGACAAAGTGCTCAGGTCGCTCAAATTGCGCGCACACGCACGCATGCGCAGAGTTAAGTCGACGCCGAAGAGGCGCCCAGCGGGCGCACTTCCGCCGCGTCCCTGTCGCCCCGAGAGTGCGCAGGCGTGGAGGCCGGACAGCCCAGCCAGGCGTTTGTAGGCGAAGGGGCGCCGGGCGTGGCTCGGGCCTCCGCCATGGCTCACCGGCCGAAAAGGACTTTCCGGCAACGCAGAGCGGATTCTAGTGACAGCGACGGTTCCCAGGAGCCACCTGCCGAAGGCGGCGCCGCAGGGGAGCAGGCGTCCCCAAGCTTTGCGGAAGAGGAGTCACCCCTGGGAGGACGCTGCGCGACGGTGACAGAACGGCCACTTAGGGCCCGGGGCTCTCGGGGCCGCGGCCGGGTGTGGGCCAGTTCCCGGCGCAGCAAGGAAGCGGCTCCCCACGCGGACGCTGGCGGCCCAGGTGACTCGGGGTAGCTGGGTAGGTGCCCGAGGTGAGGCGGGCGGGCGCGGGGTGCGACGCCACCCGCGGAGCCCCTCTGGAGGTTTCTGTAACCCATTATTGACTACCAGCAACGCTGAATCTCAGCAGTCCCCCGCCGCTACATTTCCATTTCGCGCCCCTTGGGCTTATTTGTGCGTGAAAATCTGCTGGTCCTTCACAGTCAAGTATGAGCAACGTACCGAATTAATTTTCTAGGAAACATTTAACCAAAACTGTATATTTAAAGGTTTAGGTGACAGGCTTTGGGACGTCTTCTTTTGCACGTTGTCTTTTTCATTAGTTATTTACAAACCGAGATTAAAATATCAGTAAGTAACATAGTAGGAATTGCTGACACTAGACTGTGCCAATCATGCGTTCAATACAGTTGTCATGACATTCTTAAATGTAGGGTTTAAACGGCATAAATTTGTTTACATAAAATACGTTCTGACTTTAATTGGACCTTAATAACATCTTTTGGCTAGATTTGTGATAAAATTTTCTCCGCACTACTTTAAATATTTACAACCTATTTGTTCAAAATTTTCTACTCAGTGTAAGTCATCTGGTTAAACATTTAGGGAAAATTGACACCAGCAGTGATCTTTTCTCCAGCTTTATAGAACAGCGGTTCTCACATTTTTTGCTCTTGGTACTAACTATATACTCTTGAAAATCATTAGACCCAAAGAATTTTGTATCTGTGAATTTTTATCTATTAGTATGTGCCATGTCAGAAATTGAAATGAATTCTTACTTCACTTATTAAAATTTTACCCCAGTAAATTAAAAATAGCCTACTTTTGTGAAAAATTTCCCCACCAAACCGGCATCACAAGAGTGGCGTTGTTCTCAACTTGCAGATCTCTTTAATATCCAGCTTAATGGATTGCAGCTGAACTTTCAAACCAACTCCTGTACTCCACCTGTTTTGTTTGATGCGAAGAAAACCAGGCATTTTGTTAAAAGGGGATACTTACATTTCAGGGCGTTCTGCTTTGAAATCACTATAAATCTCAACCAGTAAAGTTTCTTATAGGTTAGTTTATAATATGGAAGCTTAAGCCACATCATTAATTTTTTCCACTGTTATAAGTCCCATTAATCCCTTTTGCACACTGAATGGATCCTTGATTAGTAACCTCATGCATTGACTGTTTTGGAAAGTACTGGTTGGTCAGATACTGCAAATGTTGGATCCTTACATTTTACGATATCTTTAAAAATCACTGTTAATATTACTACTGATCTCATCAGTCTTTAGGCATTGAAAAGTTAATACTGTATTAATAGTGGAGGATATGTTCACCAAAATTCAGTTTTGGTTGTTTTTTTTTTAAAGATTTATTTATTCATATATAACTGGGGTACAGGCCAGAGATATGGAGGGTGAGAGGACTCACCAGAGACAGAGTGGGGAGCAGAATAGGCAGATCGATGAAGTACACTGCTGAGGGGAGCAGCGGGTGGGAAGGAGAGGTCTGCCACGCCAAGTGGATCTCCTCCGGGGCAGGCGGGGATGGAACTCATGCGGAAGTGGTCCAAGCCTCTTAGTGCAGTGCTTTAACCCACTGTGCCACCAGGGAGGGCCAAAATTCAGTTTTTATTTGAAAATCTAATTCTAAATCTAACTAATTCAACTTTGCTTATTTCTGAGAAAGTGTCAGATATCTGTGCCTGAATGTATGTAACTACATAGACCATAGCTGTAAGTTTTGGTTATACATCATATAAATCAACATGTGCATATCCTGCATTAAGTTCACCACTAAAAGTCCAGTTCTTTCCAATACCTCTTTCACCCAATTTATCCAACACTTTTTCGCCCTCCCTCCTGGTAACCACTAATTTGATCTTACAGTCTACACAATTATTATTTTTTTATTTTAGATTAGACTATTTGTTAGTTTCACTTCATGTGAGTGAAATCATATGGTGTTTGTATTTTACCATCTTGTTTGTCTAAAATATGTTAACATTAAAACATCATATATACACCATGTGTTCAGAATTTTAGTTGTTGATTCCAATATCTTTACTCTTATGTTTTTAAAAAAAAATCCTTAGAATCCAGAATGGTTGCTCTTTCAAAAACCAAAGAGGATGGAGCTCATCATTCCTCAGAAAATAATGAACATCAGAGTTCATCTTCTGACAGTTCTCTCTCTCAGGAAGAAGAATTTTCATCAATAGGTTGGTAATTTCGGTTAAGAACTTTCTTTTTGAAAAACAATTATTGTATTACCTTTGACTTACAAAACTAAATTTTAGGGTTATAACTTAAGACCTATGGGTCTGTAAGTCTTCACCTCACCAACCACCAAAGTTCTGGTGCCAACTATCAGGTCAGCCTCTACTCTCCCCTCCTACCTGCTTCTTCCTCTGTTTACCATTATATTTCTCATAGAGTTTGAGTTATTTTTGTTATGATTTGTTAGATCATTTGTTTTGATATAGTCTACATACAAGAAAAGCCATTCTATAATTGTCTTTTTGACTTGTTTTCCTTTTAGTATAATCACTTCAAGTTCCATCTATGTTGTCAAAGGCAAGAGTTTCAGCTTTTTAATAGCTGCATAGTATTCTATTGAGTCTATTTACACTTTTATATCTAGTCATCTATTGAGGTATTTTCCATATTTTAGTGTCGTGGATAACAATATTGTGAACATAAGAATTGCATAAATCCTATGAATTTGAATTTGTTTTTATATTCAGATATTCTTCAGATAATTTCTTAACAGTGATGTTGCAGGGTCAGATGATATTTCCATATTTAGATTCTTGAGGTAATATCCCTCATGTTATCCATAGGGACAATTTGCATTCCACCAACAGTAGGCGTTATTTCTAATATCAGTATTTTCTATGCTTAAGAAAGAGGGTAAGACCTGACATTTCTAGTATTTTGAAATACTTGAAATGGGTCTTTTGCCATTCTGTTTATATTATAGCTTCTCGCATGAAGAAACTTGATTTTATTCTAGTTTTATATTTTAAAAAGACAGGTTTATTAAGAAAAGGAGAAAGAAAAGGAAAGGCACCTGCAGAGTCCTAGGCAGGCAGGACAACTGTTGTTTTCAATAAAACTTTATGGATTTACAATACTATATAAATTTGGGGAAAACATCTTCACCTCTACATGAATAAATTACACTTTATTACCAAGAGTTATAGTGCCTTTCCTACTAGGTCATCATATTTATCTGTTCTACCCTTTCTCTTCCCACTCTGGTAACCACCATAGTTTTAAGTTATTTTTGTTGTGATATCTTTGTTTACTTTGGTTGTGAAGAAAACTGTTTTGAATCTGAAAGGTTCATATTAATGATGTTTGTACTTGGTAAAATAACATAACAAAGGTCTATTAAAAGATGTTAAATATGGCCTCTGCCTGGTAGTACAATGACTTAAAGCACCACATTATGAAGCTCTCCAAAGCCACTGCAGCACAAGTTCGATCCCAGGCCAGGGAGCTGACCCATGTAGTGTGGCAGACCTCTTCTGACCCACCCACTGCTACCCTCAGCAGTGTACTTTGTCATGTTGCTCCCCACTCTGCCTTTGGTGAATCTTCTCACCTCCCCCTGTAACTCTGGCCTGTACCCCAGTTCTATAAACATAAATAAATAAACATAAATAAATACTTTCTTTAAAAAGTTAAATATGTATTTTTGAATATTTATTTATGCATACAGAACTGAGTATAGGCTAGAGGTGCAGGGTGGTGAGAAGATTCACTAGAGACAGAGCAGGGAGAACAGGCAGATTAATGAACTATCCTGCTGAGGGGAGCAGTGGGTGTGACAGGAGAGGTCTGCTGCACCATGTGGATCACATCCAGGGCCAGGGATTGAACTTGCACTCAAGAGGCTGAGGCTAGCTTGCTGTGCTGTGTCCCAATCTGTTGTGCCACCAGGGAGGGCCAGTTAAATATTTTTATACCTGTTTCTCTATTTTTTAACTTCTCACATCTATTCACTTGGGAATCACCACTGGACCTTGGAAGCTGTCTTGATGTGTACTGACTGGCTTTACAGTCTATTTCTTACTCCTTTACCTACATAGGTGTACATAGGAAAGGGATAGAGTATAGTCCTTTGCTTGTAAGTGAGATTGGCCTGTCACTTAATATTCAAACCTTTACAGTCCTCCTTGGCTGAGCCACCCCTACTTTCCTATCCCTACCTGAAAAATCTCAGAACTTTTTTAAAAACAAGAAACAAAAAAGGTAGCCACTACATTTGGTGAGTGAGAGTTAAAGTATTAATAGGACTGTGTTGTATTTTTTAGGTGTTTCTTGATTTTTATCTTTTATCAGATTTTCTTTCATTATTGATGTAGGTTTCTTACTACTTAGTAACGTATCAAAATGACAAAAAATAGAAAAAAGTGCTTTTATCTTTAAGTACAAAGACTATTCTGTTGATATATAGTTTTCATTCTGATCTTTATCTTTCAGTAAATATACCTGATGCAGCTTTTATTCAGTCAGCCCGTAGAAAGCGTGAATTGGCCAGGGCACAAAAAAACTACATTTCTTTAGAGGTAAAACATCTCTCTACCATTTCTGGGATGAAGAAAAACAGTGATGAAGATCCTGAGAATGAGCCTGATGACCATGAAAAGAGAATACCATTTACCCCCAAACCGCAAACACTCAGACAAAGAATGGCTGAAGAAACAAGTACATATTTAATTTATTTATAAAATATGAAGATTAAGGCATTTTTCTTGAACATACGATGTAGTGTCTCATTCTAAAAGGGTATTAAAATGGCTTTTATTTAATATTTGGTCAATGACATGACTTCTAAAAGACATGTTTTTAGAAGTTAATTGTATAGTTTCTTATTTTTGAAATGGACAGATTTCACTATTTGTAAAAACTTCTTTTAGTATGGAAGTAACTACAGAGATTTTAGGTGCCATGTTTTAAAATCTTTCCTACTCAAAAAAGAAAATTTATTGACCAATGAATAAGTCTGTTTTACTGTCACATTTTTCATTTATGAACAGTGTTTTACCAAAGTGTCGTTTCAAGTAACTTTTTTTTTTTTCGAAAATAAGGCTTATGCTTTCTTATAAACCAGAAATTATTTTTTAAATACTTCATCCACAAATGGAACTGAAAAGCTCTAAGAAGGAAAACCAGTGTTTAATTTTTTCCACATGTGATACAGTGGTTTGAATGGGTTAGGTGATAAGAGTGGGCTTTGGAGGTAGATTGCTAGATTCAAGTTCCAGCTTCAATACAGTCCTCAGACAGGTAGTTTAATCTGATATGAGTTTTCCTTTAATAGAGTGATAATCTTGATCTGTGAAGATCAAGTTAGTACCATAAAGGACTGCTAAGCCAGAACATTACATTTACCCATAAATGTTAGCTGCTGCTACTAGAATGCAAAAAGACTGAATATTTATTTATACGTGAAATGTTTTTCCCCAAGCAACCAGAAATGAAGAAACAAGTGAAGAAAGTCAAGATGAAAATCAAGATATTTGGGAACAGCAGCAAATGAGAAAAGCAGTTAAAATCACAGAAGTAAGTTTTTACACCATGTATATTAGATTCTTGTAACAAATTACCACAAACTAGACAAGTTAAAACAGTAGACAGGGCCCTCCCTGGTGGCTCAGCGGGTTAAAACACTGCGCTAAGAAGCTTAAGCCACTTCCGCATGAGTTCGATCCCTGCCTGCCCTGGAGGAGATCCACATGGCGTGGCAGACCTCTCCTGACCCCGCCCCTGCTCCCCTCAGCAGTATACTTCATCGATCTGCCTATTCTGCTCCCCACTCTGTCCCTGGTGAATCTCTCACCCTCCACATCTCTGGCCTGTACCCCAGTTCTGTATGAATAAATAAATAAATCTTAAAAAAAAAAAAAAACAGTAGACAATTACAGTTATGGAGGCCAGAATTCCAAATATAGGTACTGGCAGGACTGTACTCCTTTAAAAAGCCCATCTGTCTTCTCCTTCACATAGCTGCCTTTTCTAGTCCTGTACTCTTTTTGTCTCTCAAGACATTTAGGGCCCACCTGGATAATCCAAGGTGATCTCAAATATTGAGATACTTAATACAATGGCAAAGATCGTTTCTTTCACACAAACTTAATATTCACAGATTCTGGAGTTAGAATAGGAATGTGATAGTAAAATGTATTCATTTTGCTATACCTTATCCTTCTAAAAGCTCCAGAAAAGAGACTCCTCCTTGACTGTTCTATCTTTTTGGGTAGTTTTCAGCTAGGAGCCTCATCACTGTCTACTACATCTTCACATCATCTCCTTTTTATTATATCCCAAAATTACCTCTCCCTCTCTTACAAGGATATGTATAATTTGATGAATCCATGAGAAAACCCTCTTCTCCAGATCATTAAATTTTTTTTTTTAAAGATTCATTTATTTATGCATACAGAACTGGGGTATAGGCCAGAGGTGCAGGGGTGGCGAGAGGCTTCACCAGAGACAGAGTGGGGAGCAGAACAGGCAGATTGATGAAGTACACTGCTGAGGGGAGCAGCGGGCGGTTCAGGAGAGGTCTGCCAGCCATGTGGTCACCTCTGGGGCAGGCGGGAATCGAACTCATGTGAAAGTAGCTTTAGCTTCTCAGTGCTGTGCTTTAACCTGCTGCGCCAGCAGGGAGGGCGCCTGGATCATTAAATTTTTGGTATAGGTTTCTGTAACATTTACAGATCAACATATCTTTTGGGGGCCACCATTCAGCACACTACAGCCATTTATCGGCGATAAGCACATGACTCTACAGTCTTTGCAAGGGAAAACACAGCTAAACAAAATAGTAAGGCTGAAATCTTCCAAGTTTAGTGACAGAATTATGTACAGGGTCCTGAGGGGGAATAAAGAAATAATTGAATGGTTTTATGGACAATAAGACAAGTGAGAATGCTTAGAAAGCCTCTGTATAAGTGATTAGTTTTAAATGGGTCTTTTAAAGATCTTTATATTGTAAAGGATTCAAGACAGAAGATAGCAGTAAAGTAACATAAGAGTCTGCTTAGCTTGGGATTTGGCAAGTATGATTGAAGCTGAATGAAAATCTTGATGAGAAATGATGCCTTGTGAAAAATACAGAAAGATAACTAAAGAATTGCTGATTATCTGACCCATTTCTTTACATGTCATCTGAAAACATGTTCTTCAGAACCTTTTCAACATTCTGTCATATCATGGTGATGATGAGCTATGATTAGACAGAGAATAGTAATATGAAATATGCCATGTCACAAAATGTTTTAGAAGGCATTCCTCTACAAGTGACCAAAATCACAAATGACAGTGGTTTAACCCTAAAAGTTCTACCTGCCATCCATCACACTTCCACTTCTCCTTAACTGGAGAGAAGTTAGGTAGCTACTTCTGTCATGAAAACCAAACATTTAATTTTGGGGAAATAGACATAGTTTTAGTTAGGCACCTGTGTCTCCTGCACAAGATAATAATAACTAAAGGCTGTTAAATCGTCAACAGCTCCATGACTTCCTGAGTATAGAAGGCTATTAAAAAGCACTAACTGAAAACCAAGCTTTTGTGGAAAATAGGATTTTATAATTTGTCACTTATGTATGAATTTAAGTTTTCTGAATTTTAAAAACATAACTGAAAATTTTCAAAGGCATGCAATTTTGAGCTAGTGAGAACTTGAATATCTGACTGTTTATGTTACCAATATTTGTAAGATGAACGTTTAAAACAACACAAATATTCATATTTTTAGGGACGAGACATAGATCTTTCCTGTAGCAATGAATCTCAGAGAATGAAGAAATTTGATACTTCCATTTCATTTCCACCAGTAAATTTAGAAATTATAAAGAAGCAATTAAATACCAGGTAAGTAATCATTTAAAATTTATTTACCTGAGACATTTAATAATGGGGAAAAGCTGTGTATTCTTATTAAATGTAAATATTACTAGTAAGTAGATTTGTATGAGAAAAATAGCATCATCTATGTTACCACACTAACAGGACTTATTTTGGATTTCTTTCTAATAATAATAGCTATCACTTGGTTAAAAACAAATATCTAATTCTGATTTTTTATTTACTTATATGGGCACAGATTTTTTTTCCCCTGCATTTATTAAACTTAAATAAAAAATGATGGGAGTGAAATCAACAAGATTGCAGAATAGGAAACCCCAGACCTCATTTCCTTACAGAGCTACCAACTTAACAATGTATGGTTCCTAAAGCCTTTATGAGAACTCCAGAAATAGGTTAGGAGGTTACCCCCCAGAAAACTGAAAGCTGAGAATATCCACTTTGAAATCAGTGAGGAAAAAAGGCTGATTTCAGTTCAGTCACAGCAACTCCTCCCATAAGCCAGCACAGCTTACATTTGAAAAAAACAGAAAAGCCCCAACTCGTGATTTCCCCATTGGTAGGAAAGGAGAAGAGTAGAACATACATCCAGCATTATGACTTTTTAGCAGACTGGCTTATGCCCTGCCTATCTCTAAAATCTGATAAGAAATATCACACCTTGGATACCTGAAGTTGTAGACAACAAAAAAGTACCCAATGCCTTGTTACTGAGCCAGAAAAACTGCAGTACCTCAAACAGACATCAGAGGAAGAGTGGCTACAAATTCCTGAAAAACAAACCCCAAAATCTCTTTAATTGGGAAATTACATGTAAAAGTACAAGGAATATGATTTTTCATAAAAGGTTCAGGACATACCCCCCTCCTCCTACCCTACTCCCAGAATTCCACCAGGATGAAGTTCTCTTATAAAAAAAGGTTCATTAGAGCATTTTCAAATATATACAATACAAAATGAAGTAAGACCCACAAAGAAATTGGAAAACACAGGCAAAAGAACAGAATAACCACAGAACTAATACTAAAGAAACAAAGATCTATGAATTACTTAGAGTTTAGCATAATCTTTTTAAAGGACACATGCTGCAAGAGAACATAGACAACTGAACAAAATCAGGAAAACAACGAATGAATAAATTGAGAGTATCAACAAACTAGAAATAAGAACAACATTCTGGGAGTAACTGCACTGAAAAATTCACTAGAGAGAATATCAGACTTGATGCAGAAGAATTAGTAACCTTAACAGCTGATCATTTGAAATTATAAAATCAGAGGAACAAAAAGTGAAAAAAATCTAAGGGAAGGACTAAAGGGATGCCATCAAGCACAACAGCACATTACACGTGTCCAAGAAAAAGACAGAATTGAGGCATAGAGCTAATTTGAAGATAATGGCCAAACAGAATTTCTCAAACAGAAGAGAGAAATGGCTATCCAGCTTCAAGAAACACAAAAGGAATCCATTGAGTATGAGCCCAAAGAGACGCTGAGATTGTCAGACTTAACCAACAAAGAGAATTTTGAAAGCAGGGAGACAAAACACCTCTCCAGGTATAAGGGAGTTGCTATAGGGATTATCAGTGGATTTCTCAGCAGAAATCTTTACAGAATAGAAAGGAGTGGTACGATACATCAGCGCTAAAAGAAGGTGCCAACCAAGAGTAGTGTTTCTGGCAAAACTGTCCAAAAATAAAAGCAAAATAAAGACCTTTTCAGGTTAAAAAAAAAAAAAAAAGCCCAGGGGATTTATCACCACTAGGTCTGCCTTACCAAAGCTGCTAAAAAAGTTCTTCAAATTAAGGATACTAGTTAGATAGTAACACAAAACATATAAAATTGAAAGTTTTCTGGTAAAGGAAAATGGCTAGATACAAAATAAGAATCTAGTGTGAAAATCATTTATAATTCAGGTATAAATTTTAAAATAGGCCCTCCCTGGTGGTACAGCAGGTTAAAGCACAGTACTGAGAAGCTAAAGCCACTTCAGCATGAGTTTGATCCCAGCCCGGGAGGTGACCCACATGGCATGGCAGACCTCTCCTGACATGCCCTCTGCTCCCCTCAGCAGTGTACTTCATATGTTCTGTCTGTTCTTCTCCCCACTCTGTTTCTGGTGAATCTTCTCACCACCCCTGTACCTCTGGCCTGTACCCCAGTTCTGTATGCATAAATAAATCTTTAAAAAAAAATTTTTTAAGCTATGTTAATAGATACAGAATGATGTAATTTTGGGGGTTATCTGTAACAAGAAGTGGAGTTGTTTTTTATGTGATTAAAGTTAACAGCTTAAAGCAGACCGCTATAATTGTAAGATTTTCTTGTAATCTCCTTGGTAACCACCAAAAAAATACCTGTGAATGCTGAACAAAATAAAACTGGTAAAGAATCAAACCAAGTTAGTATAAAGTCAAATAAAAAGTACGGCTGAGGGAAAAAGAGGAACAAAGTAACCTGTTCATTTAGATACTTGTTTTCTCATATCACAAACTAACTCCATAAAGACTCTTGTTTCAAATGTAAGACCACTAATTATTTTAACAAGTAGTTTCCAATCCTCATCCATCCATACTTCTACTCTAAAACTGCGTATATTTCAACTGCATATTGACAAAACTACATACAACTTCTATAGCTCAACACCTAAAAGCCTCTTTTTACTTTCTACTTTGCCTTTGAGACCTCTTTCATTGTGGTGTTCTCCTTTTCTCAGCCTGGTTTATATAATTACTAGTTTGCTTGGTGGTCTTTGTAAGGCAACTTCAAAATAATTTTTCATTAGTCTGCTATTTACTATAATAGAACTAAGAGTTTGGAAAATAAAACAATTTTTTTTATTTTTTAGATTAACACTACTACAGGATACTCATCGCTCACACCTGAGGGAATATGAAAAGTACACAGAAGATATCAAAAGCCTAAAGAATACCATCCATAACCTTGAGGATTCATCAAATCAAGCTTTAAATTTTAAATTCTATAAAAATATGAAAGTTTATGTGGAAAATTTAATTGACTGCCTTAATGAAAAGGTATGTGCTATAAATATTATATTACTTCTTCATCATGAAATTGAGGAAAGTTTGCCACCACTAAATCTTTCCTCTAGTATTTTTCTCACATTTTTGATATACTAATGTTGAACACTTAGAATTTTTTGGTAGTTATTAAACAACTAAATTTTGTATGTAAATTTTTGTTTTAAAATTTCATCTTGGGCCTCCTTGGTGACAGGGGTTAAAATCTCAGCTATCAAGGTATCACCAGCCACTGTAGCATGAATTCAATCCTGGCCAAGGAGTTAACTCATATGGTACAGCGGACTTCCTATCTTGTCCACTGCTCCCCTCAACATGTATTTCATTCAGTCTGCCTATTTTGCGCCCACATTGTCTCTGGTGAATCCTCTCACCCCACACCTTTTGTCTATACCCCAGTTTTTGTATGCATAAATAAAATCTTAAAAAAAAAACTAAAACTTCCATCTGTTCAAGAAAAATTCTAAAGAATGAATTACTAAGTCAAAAGTCTAAATATTTTTAAGGTCTATGAAACATTGCCACATTTTCCTCCTGGAAGATTGCCAATTTTATTAGTTTGCAAAATTTGACAGTTTTTGTTTTGATATATTTATTTGATCTTGAGTAAAACCTTTATTAAATAACTACATGTATTTTTTTTTTCCTTTTTGGTGTTATCTTTTCCCATTACTTTTTTTGGTTCACAGCAGAACTTTTTTTCTTATATGATGAACTTTTTTACTTAGTATTTATAATGCTTTATTCTACTTAATGTAGATAAACTGATATTTCATCTTTGTGATGGTTTGTAACATCAGGCACTTGAAATTTTTATGTTTTTCATATTTATGCATCAGTCTGTTCCCAGTCTTTCATTATTATTTTTATCTTGCACATACTAAGTCCTTGCATTGAAGTCTTCAAGTTTTTTTTAAAACAGACTACCCACTGAAAAAAAAATTCATATTTTTTATTTACATTAAATATCACCAGTTGAATGTGAGATTTCTCCCCCTTTAAGTTGAATACCTTTCCATAGCACTTACAGGTGCTTTTCTGAAGTGCTTACTACTGTGTAACTTTTTTTATTCCTTGAAGAATTACATTGTTAAAGTTTTGTGGCCTATCCTTGAAGTTATCCATAGTAGCAACAGAGGGTTATCATTTGTGTCAGGGGAACTGATATTAAGAAATAAAAGATTTTTT